CAGGTCACCAGATCGAAGGGACCCATAATTCGTTGGGTCTCGGGGTCCCGGACCAGCACCAGAGGGCGCTGCTGCAACTTGTAGCTGTTGGCAGATGGAAAATGCCGGGCTACTGGAGGGTTAGGATCACTGTCCGAGCAGTTTATGAAGTTCAGCGTGTAAAGGGCCTTGCACAACCGTTCTTGTGGGGTGCAGCCCTTCACTGTCTCCTTTTGATGGACGAGGACGTGCTTGAGCGATTGATGGGCTCGCTCAACAATCGCTTGGCCTGTGGGGGAGTGTGGGATGCCTCTCTTGTGTGTCACTCCCCACTCTTGCAGGAAATCCTCCAGTTTCCTGGAGGTATAAGCTGGGCCATTGTCCGTTTTGATCTCTTTGGGGACCCCCAGCACAGAGAAAGCCTGCATGAGGTGTTTACATAAATGCTCGGCTTTCTCCCCTGTGTGGGCAGAGGCATAGATAGCACCTGAGAAGGTATCAATGGAAAGGTGCACATAGCGGAACCTGCCGAATTCCGGGACGTGTGTGACATCCATTTGCCACACCTCACAGCTCCCCAGGCCTCTGGGGTTGACTCCAGCTCCCAGAGAGGGCATTGCAGTGGACTGACAGTGTGGGCATGTGGCCACGATGGCTCTGGCTTGATCTCGCCTCAGGTGGAATTGGCGGACCAGCCCAGGCGCGTTCTGGTGGAACATCTGATGACTCAGCTTGGCTTGCTGGAATACATCAGGGAGCTGAGCCATAGTGACAGGAGTAGCGAGGGAATCAGCTCTCTCATTTCCCTCGGCTACCGGGCCAGGGAGTTCAGTATGCGACCTCACGTGCATCACAAAAAATGGCTGCTTTCGGTGGGAAACGGTAAAGATTAACTTGGAAAGCAGCTCAAACAGCTGCGGATTGGAGACCTCCTTTAGGGCGGCATTCTCTGCCCTAGCTACAACCCCAGCAACATATGCCGAATCTGTAACCAAATTAAATGGTTCAGGAAATCTCTCAAAAGCTCTGACGACAGCATCCAACTCAGCGACCTGTGGAGATCCCTCCACATACTTAACATCCGCTTCCCACTGCTGAGTTTGAGGATCCACCCAAGTCACAACTGACTTGTGGGATGCTCCAGATGCGTCAGTGAAAACAGTCAGGGCCTTGAGGGGTTTTCGACTCCGAATTGAACTTGGGATAATGTTAAATTTAGCATTGAAGAATTTGTGTGCCGGGGCGTGGACTGAAACTTGTCCACTGTAGCTATCAAAAGCGATTTGGAGAGCCTCGTTCTCCTGCAGCAGCTGTTCAAACATCTCTTTTGTCAGCTTATCCGGGGACGCCCTGTCCCGAGACAAGCTGACAGGCACCCGTACACAAGCAAAGTCGCACCCTGCCATCTCCCTGAGCCTGGCTCGAGCTTTCCTGACAAGCTGAGCCACCAGCTCTTGTGGCCGGGTGATACTCTTGGATCGTTGATGGCTCAGGAATACCCACTCTATGATCAAGAGTGGGTCCCTTGAGCCTTGATCCCACTGAAAGATGAGCCCACACAGGTGCGGCAACCTTCCCAGAATGATATACTCAAACGGCAGGGTCGGCTCATATCGATGTGCCTGCCTTTCCATTAAAGCAATTTGTGCCTTCCTCAGTGCTTCCCTCGCCTCTGGAGTCAGGGTCCTAGGAGAACTAAGCTCCTTCTCCCCCTTCAAAAGCATGAAGAGGGGGGCTAGGTCTTCGGTGGTGAGGCCCAGCCAAGGCCTGACCCAGTTCAAGGTCCCGCACAGGGAGTGAAGGTCTGCCAAAGTCTTTGGATTACTGTTGATAGCCAATTGTTGAGGAACAATGGTCCTCTCAGTAATCCTCAGTCCCAGATACTTCCAGGGTGGCATCCTTTGAACCTTGTCTTCCTGGAGCTGGAAACCTGCAGATGTTAGAACTCTAACCACTAGGTCAAGTGATTGAGTAAGCATATCATCATGGGGGGGCGCACACTAGGACATCATCCATATAATGATAGATGATGACCTCCCCCATTTCGGCGCGGACGGGAGACAGCAATGAAGAGACATACCACTGGCAGATGGTCGGCAAATTCTTCATCCCTTGTGGTAATACTCGCCAGTGGTATCTCTTCATTGGGGCTTCTTGGTTCAGAGTGGGCACCGAGAAGGCAAACCGTGGGGCATCGTCAGGGTGTAGGGGAATTTGAAAAAAACAATCCTTAATATCAATCACAGCCAATTTCCAATTTCGGGGGAGCATGGTAGGGGTAGGCATCCCTGGTTGAAGGGGCCCCATGTCCACAATGATTTTGTTAATGGCATGAAGGTCATGGAGGAGGCGCCACTTGTCTTTCCCCGGCTTACGGATGACAAAAACTGGAGAATTCCAAGGGCTAGTTGTCTCTATGATGTTACCTTTAGACAACTGCTCCTCCACGAGTTCACTGAGCGCCCTTAATTTATCCTTTCTGAGCAGCCACTGATCAATCCCAACCACTTCATCAGTTACCCAATCTAGCTTTTGGAAGGGGCGCTCCACAGTGGCCGCCTCTAAAAATCCCGAGGGGTTTTCAGGATCTCTATTTTGACCCCCCACTGGGACATGAGGTCTCTCCCCCACAGAGGAACCTGATAATCCGCCACGAATGGGCGTAAATTAGCCAATGCCCTTCCGGCCCCACAATTGGCACCACGCACTTAGAAATCCTCGCCAATTGTGTACCCCCTATACCCTGTATCTTGCCAGCCACGGGTTGCAACTCCCAATGTGACGGCCATCTCCTTTCGGGGATGATCGTCACATCCGCTCCCGTGTCAAGCAGTCCTTTCATCTGAAAGGATTCTGCACCCTGCTTGACGCTGCAGTCCAGAATGGGCTTTTCCTCACCCACCACTTCTGCCCAGTAGACGCCTGGTGAGTGGTCGTCTACTGGGACCTGCTCAGGTACTGGTATGAACCGGGCAATGATTTGCCCCTTTGGCAAAAAGAAGGGTGGATGAGTGCAGCGCGCCAGGAGAATGAGGTTCTCTGGACCACCCGGAAAGGTGATGGGAGAAATCTCAATTTCCGGGGGTGTGTGCTTGGTGTCCCCGATGGCGATGTACTTACTGTCACGTCCAGTGTCCATTGCTTTTTCCTCCAGTGGGTCCACTGCTACTACCATCCAGTGCTGGGACTGGAAGAGGATGTCTCATGTAGTTATCAAGTGTCTCGTCTGGTGAATAGGCCATGTCCGGTTGATGTTTCTTCCCCCCTTCACGATACCTGCCCCATTTGTTGCTTCGCGCGGGGCAGGTTCGCGCCGCGCTTTTAGTTTTTTTTATTGAAGACTCCCTCTCCCCCTTTTCCCCCCATGTAGCCCCTCGCAGGTCCAGGGCAGGGATGCGCAGCAGGGCAATCCCTGGCCATGTGCCCCAGCTGTCCAGCGATAGCACTGGAGAGGCCTTCCAGATGGTGGTTGAGGTTGGCCAGGCGGGTGCTGGGCCACTGCTGCAGTTGGTGGTCTCCTGGCCGCCGGTGGTAGTGGTGGCACCCTGGACGTCCCCACTAACGGCACTTTCTTCTCGCATGCATCAATGAGGACATCCAAGGTTGGCGGTGAATACATAGGCAGGCTGAAAATAACTTGTTTACAAATATCATTGCAGTTCGCTTTTGCCATCTCTAGGATAAGCTGCTCCTGCAGCTCAGGTCTGTCAACCTGCCTCTCTATCTGTTCCTGCAAGCAGTTAACAAAAATAGTAAAGGGCTCACTGGGGGACTGCTTAATATTTGAAAAGTTGGTCAGGGGCTCCCCCCCCAGCAAGATGTTAAATACCTTTTCCGCGGCCTCCGTTATTTTAATTAAGACAGGCGGGTAAAACCCTGGCCTGTTCTTCTGGCTTCCCCCAGTTCCCTTCACCGCACAGGTGATCTATCGAGAGGGGGTTTTCGTCCGCGTCAACCGCGGACTCCTCGCTGCGCAACAGCTCAGGAAGGATGGCCTCCAACGACTTCTGGAAAGGCCTCTGTTTTCCACAGCTGGGGAAAGGAGGTAAGCAAACAACTCTTTCAAATCGTGGGAGACCATCTCGTTCGCGGAGAAGGTGGCTTTTATTAAGCCCTTAAAATATTCACTTCTCCTGCCGAACTCTTTCTGGGCTTTGCACAGCTCCCTCTTTGTCTGGAAGGAGAAGGGTTCCCATTCTCGGTACCTCCCTCCCCTTCCTCTAAAACTGACCGGTGCGGCAAAGGGAATCACAACCTGTTCCGGGTTCAGGTCCTCACGCCTGTCACTTCCGGTCCCCGAAGCACGGGAACTGGATGGGACGGCGTGGGAACCGGGAGGAGGGGCATGGGAACCAGGAGGAGGGGCATGGGAACCAGGAGGAGGGGCGTGGGAACCAGGAGGAGGGGCGTGGGAACCGGAAGAGAAGCCGGAAGAGGCGGGGCTGGAGGACCGACTGAGGAGGAGGGCTGAAGGGAGGAGCAGCGGCCGGAAGGGGTGGGGTTTTGTGAGGTCACACTTTGGGGACACGCCCCTGAGGAGGAGGAACCACCCAAGGGGAAGTGGGAGGAGTCAGGGTAGGATGGAAGGGTTTACAATAATTGACAAGTGGGTGAAACCAACACAGAACTGCGGGGGGACAACAGGAACAAACCAACGAATTGTATAAATAAAACGAATAGACTGCCTGCAACATGCGGGCCTCATCAAGGTGCACCTTCAGCTGGAGACTCTCATTATACAAAACAGAAAACTGGGACTGCATGCAGCGATATTCCGGGGTCTCCTTCACAGCCTCTTCCACGGCTCGTCGCAGCTCAACCTAGTTGTGACACAAGAAAATGCCACAAAAAGGAATATTATCCCCTTGCCTTTGGTCTCTGTCTCAAGACAGCAAAACAGTGACTCATGCTGCCACAAGCAAAGACAAAAGTAGAACTTCAACAGCACTGCTGTGAAGTAGGTCCAAGTGATATGCTTCAGTACCGATTTTAAAAAGTCTCTGTGGTCTCTGCATGCACTAGGCTGCTTCTCTTGCACAACCACATCATGCAAGTTTTTGTCTCTTGGGTCCTGAAACAGTTTCTCTCAAAGATATGAACTTGGAAAACATAATAAATCACTCAGATTAATAAAGATAGACACATATAAAAGTATAAGAGAACAGTGAAAATGCACATGGAAGTAGACATTATGTTAGCCTTCTTCCAGTAAGACATAATGACTGACAGAAAGAAAAATTAAAAAAAAAACCAGAGGTACAGAACTGAATTCCTAGGAAAAAAAGTTAACAAATGATTGTGACTAGCAGCAGAGAACATACACATATATACATGCATTCAGCTTTAAAGTAATTAGAGGGAAAAGGAAAAAGTTGTAATCTAAACACTATTTTTCTCTAAACAAATTCATGTGGATAAACAGAATTCAGAGCTACCTCAAGACAGTTCCCACCATCAGATCTCTGAAATTAGGTTCTCTAGACAGACACTTCTTATAATTGGCACTGACCACTAAGACAACATCTGATTGTTTCTGTTCTCTGGTTGCACTTGCACAGGGTGTGGGCAAGGTGGAAGAGGGATCACTACTTGTAAAGATGTGAAAACATTTTTAACCAGATATGGTCAAAAACGAATGAAAGATCGGGACATGGGCAGGAAACCATCACAATTTCCAATGGTGGCCACATGGTGTCACACACTGAACAGCAAGCGGAGCCACAGACAGACTTGCTGAATTGTACACTGGAGCAAAGTGTAACGCAGCTAAAGAACAGGTTCAGAACAGGCACTGCTAATGAGCTTTCCTGCAGATACAGCACTGCAAAGCTGAGGGCAATTCAGAACACCTTCATCCTCACATAGCTACAGATGTCTCACCTCGAGCTTTTCATTTTGTGTTGTTACCTCATCAAGATCCTGACTTAGCTCCTCCACTTCATTAAGGCAATTCCCAGCAAGCTCTTTATTCTCTTCCAGTTCTGCATTCATCTCCTCAAGCTGTTGGGATAAACAGCTTGTAAATCCCACTGCTAATGTTTCTCCTGAGTGTCCTTTCAAACTATGTTTCTCCTGTGCCTCTCCAAGGAAGTAAGCTGCCTTCCAAACTATAGTAACAAAAAATTATGCTGAGCAAAATCCCAAAGCAGATTTCCTTCTTTCTCCTCTTTATACCTCCTGAGACATGACTCTGTGCTTCTCCTGAAGAACATCAACCAGTTCCTGCAGCCGTCCATTCTCATGTGACAGGCAGGAATGCAGCTCCACTACTGCTTCTTCCATCAGTGAAATATCTGAAAGGTACACAAAGAAAAGGAAATTAATGGAAATCACGGAACACTGATTTTAATTCCTGAACAGCAAAGACAGAAATAAGAAAATAGAAAAGGAGATTTCTGGGTCTAACTTCAGTTTACCCTACCTCTCCCACAGATGCTTCCTGAAGGTCTGATCTCCATCCACAGAGACCTTTGACTTGCACTCCCTAATTTTGCTTAGGCTCTTTAAGACTCTGCAGTTTAACAGTGCTGCACATTTCTGACATGAACACAGTACTGGCAGAAACAAGATGCTTCTTAGCCAAACATGCTGAGTAGAGCCCTCATCATTCAAATAGAGAGGTAGCTACAATACACTTTTGGCACATCCTTTAGTAGAGGTTTTGGTAACAAGAGTTTGGAAAACCAAACAAATTCATTTTGGAAAACAAATGCACATAAGAAAGACTAGACTTTAATGTCTACAATGCAGGATCACGCCTAAGGGGGGGGGGGGAGATAAGCACTCTTGAATACCTGCCACTGGTCATACCTCCACTATTCAGCTTGTGAGACAGCACGTTCATCTTCTCCTGAAGGTTGTCATACGTTGTCACAATCTGGGCAACAGCTCGGCGGGAGGACTCCACACGCTCCTGCAGCTGAGATTCTATCTCCTCACTGGTACTGCTGGCTAGAGTGGCCAGGAAGGAGAATGCTGGCTCCAGTCCTTCCCCTGGAAACAAAAAGAGGTGAAAATAAGTAAATGTGTTCTCGAAGGTAGCATATCATCAATCTTTACAATCACAATAAAAGTCTTCATCTGCCTTTTGAAACGGACCTCAGCATTGTCCATAGCAGAAATCCATCCTTCCCACTGTCCCCAGACAGGTGCCTCACCTCGTTCTCTCTCATCTTTGCGCTCCTGATTACTGTCAGAGTCTGGTTCAGGTTCTGGCACCACCAGTGCTTTTCTTTCAGACAAAAAGTCTCCAAGACCTTGGTCCAGGTTGAAGCGTTTAAGGATGATGCGGGTATTTTCATCAAACTGAATGATGGGACAGGCAACGCAAAAGAATGGATGTGAGCAAAGGAAGTGCAGTGGTACAGCAGAGACAAGAAAACAGTGTATATAAAGTAACAAAAGCTGTTACCAACCTGATTCCAGTATCGGTTGATGATCAGCAGAGAGGCATCATCGGTTGCTTGCTGACACTCCAGCTTCTCAATGTGCTCCCGCAGCTCATCTTCGATGGCCTGGCGCTGGTCGAGCATCTCTGCGAGCTTCCGGTTCTTGGTCTGCAGGGTCCGGATGTCCAGCTCCTCCTGGGCACAGGCACATGGGACACACAGGCCAGGTCTCAGAAGGGCTCATCCTGACCCCAGAGACATTTTTGCCTCCAGACGAAAAACAACAAAAGGTGGAGTGGGGGTATTCAAGGAAGACATACCGTTGATGAAACACCACCAAGTTTAATGGTCTCCACAGTGGTGCCTGAATCTTCGACCCCTGCCTTTTTCTCTGGAGGTGCAGAAGGGCCAGGCTCTCCAGACATTTTTTGCCAATTGCCAGACAAATTGCCAATTCCAGACATGGTGGCTGAAGTGTACAGACTCTCACCTTCTCCAAGTCCTTCCTGAACATTAAAGAACACTATTAAAAGAAATGCCAAATACACATCCACGTGGTCAATTTGATTTGGAGTTTTTAACATGCTGACCCATCACGGTAACGAGATGCCCAAAACAGAGCAGATCATGGACCTCAAAAGATTTTGAAAAATATCTGTTGGGAGGAATGGATTAAAAGTGGAAGACTGGTAAGTAGGACTGTAAATCACTCAAGTGACCTTGCAGCTGGGAATAACCCTTGATAAGCCAGTGATCCTCTGGCATGGGCTGAGTTTAAGGGTGCCCACATTTCTCTTACTGCACCTCTGCCCAGGTGTTGCTTTGGGGATCCCACAAGTAGCAAGGTAATGGAAACAAATCTACACCTTGTGTTCTAACTCGGACTTTGTGTCAGCCTGTGCTGGCACACAAATGGTGGCCCAACATTAAGCCGTAAAAAACACCAGCAGGATCAGCACTGCAAGCACAAAGCTGATGGGGAAAATATTCACTGTTTTGTAATGTTAAAATGGAAGCACTGTACCTTATCACGCTCTTTGCAAAGAAATCTTCACCCGGGTTCAATTGAAACAGAGAAATTAAGAGTTAGAAATCAAGCATAAAGAAATGCTTTGACAAAAAGAGGGGGGTGCTGATTAAACCACATGAAATGCTTTCTCCTCCCACAAGAGCCGGAAGAGAGCAAGACTGCAAGAGTAGAGCTAGAATGCACGAACAGAATGCAAGGACAAAGGCACCACAGGATAAAGGGATTCTTTGGACCCCTATGCCAGGAAAAATGGTATCAAAGTCCAAAAGATGGTAAAAGGACTAAAAAGAGCATGCAGCTGTTGCAAACGAGGGCAGTCATTTCTTCTTTAAAAAGTAAACTCGTTTATTAAAATAAAACATGAGCAGCTGAAAGCGAGGCCCTAGAAGCCTGCACCAACAAATCGGATAACAGGCAGCCTGGTACAGCCCGCACACCAGCGCAACTGGATGTTCCTCAGGACTTGAGTTCCGTCAGAAGACCTGGGTGCTCAGCGCTCCGCAGGTTTTAAAGTCTCTCAGAGTGTCAGATTGGTGTGTTTTTCAATCTGCAGTTTCATTGGTCTAAATACAGTCCGTTGATTGGTCCTTAAGATCATGCAACCTTCACCAATCATTTTTGAAACTCGACACTCCATTGGTCTGTTCCTTCAGCCAATGAGGATCCGCAATGTCATCTGAGGTTGTGACTTCATTGTCCCAGAATGTTCCATTCTGTTCTGACTTCATTACCCTCATACCTCTGTCTATTGTTCAAAACTGGCTACCACGTTTCTGTACATCCGTACAATCACACACAACAAACAAATATCATTATAACTTTAACTTTCTCAACCAACTAGAGAATTGCATTATTTATAACAAGGTGAAAAGTTCAGCTGAGAGGAAGATCACTTACTTCATCCCAAAGATCCCCAGAAGACCACCAGAGTGAACAACAAGGAGCACTGAGCAGTTGCAAAGAGGAGTGGAGCTAATTTTAATATGAAGCGGGGACAGCAGGTTAGGAAATCAATATGTATTAGGCATATTGTGTAATCCCAGTTTGTAGAGAATAAGAAGACAGGGACAAGTCTCCAGGGTGTGCATGTCTTTGGAGGAGCTATTCCCCATGCACCTCAGTGCTAATAAATACATACCTACTTTTCTAACTTACTCTGTGGATTATAGAGGTTTTTTTCTACATATCATTTTGTTGAGCCAGCCAGGAGAAACTCTGTCTGGCTGTGGGAGCAGCCGAGGAGCAGATTCCCTGGAGTGCCCAGGAAGGACCCCGAACCTTGGTTCACTCACCACGGAGACAGACAAAGGTATGAATTAAATACCAGGGAAGGGGCTGCTGGTAAGTCATGGCAAGATGTCTGACACACAGCACAGTCTCGGCAGGCTTGCAATCAGCCAGCCTGGAGGGGGCTGGAGACAGAGGGACAGGGATCGATCCCTGGCTAATGGAGCAGCTCACAGAGGGGTTTTACTGAGCTGATAGAGCAGCCCACTAGCAACTCTGGGGGTGAGTCGAGTGAACCCTTGTTTTGCTGCTATTTTGTGTGAATGCTAAGTCCAGACACGTTGAGTTACTGAGTGAGTTTGGTGTGGGAATGAGTGCGTGAGACACACCAGAGGTGCGGAGCAAGTGTGGAGCTCCATCTGAGGTTCTGACCTCAGGCAACTGAGCCAGCCAAAGGCAAACCAGAATGTGAATGAGGAGTGTTGTGATTGAATGCAGAGTGGTTAGCGTTTGTTTTAACAAATGGATAGACAAATTGAAGGAGTGTCTCCTCAGCAGTGGTTTGGACTTGATCCCTGGGAATCGATGGATCCAGTGAATCAGTGGATAGAAAGAAGGAATGAATGGGTCTATCTAGGAGGAATATACGAAACCTCTGCAGGGAGGTTGGTGGCTTTGGGTTGGTAATAACCCACAGCACAGAACCTGAGTATTCCAGGGGAGGCGAATGGGATAGCTTGTCTTTGTGAGAGATTTAGAGCTGTCAGAGGATCAAGAGATTGGCATCTGGCATGGGTTTTATTGCAGTGTAGAGATTGTGGAAGATGTTGGTATTGTTGCTCTAATAACCAGCAAGGTGTATGCCCCACAGGTGAAGTGAAAAATCATCCTAATCAAGTTGATGTTGAACCTAAAATTCTGAGGTTGGTATGTGTAAAGACACATTGAGTCCTGCAAATTGGGATTGTGTGTGGGAAGAATACTGGGAAGAGACTGTGAAATTATGTGAGGAAAAGTTTGGGTGGAAACAGGACAGAACAAGAAGAAGGAAATAATGTGAACTGGACAAATAGATCCCTAAAGCGAGGCCACTAGGCTGTATTATTGCACATTGGAAAGACATGGCTGGACATGGGAGAACTGAGAACAAGAGAGATTTTATCGGGTTCTGCAAGGACTGGTGGCCACTGTATAAATTGGATGATGGAGCGAGGTGGCCACCTACTGGAATTTTGAATTATAACATGCTATTGCAACTCGTGCTCTTTCTTCAGAGGAAAGGGAAGTGGACAGAGGTATCACATGCCAATATGTTTTTCTCCCTTTGAAATCACCCAGAATGGCAGAGGAACTGTGGGATCAGGATTCCATCTGACCCTCTGGTACTGGGCTTGGAGAAGGAGAATAAGACTAAGAGAGGAAGGCTTAAGTGGTGTTGCTTGGAGTGTAGCATAGGACAACAATGCACAAAATGAGATGAGGTTTACCAGACTGTGGCCCAGAAACAAGATCTGGCACACGATTTGCTTAAGCCTCCCCACATAAGACAAGAAAGGGATGAGGATGAGGACATAGACTCAGAGGATGCAGACACCCTTCCGATCACGCAGCAGACTAGACAACAGACACACATATTACAGGCACCTCTGTGAGAGGCAGTGGGACCAGAACGAGGAGTGGTATAAGTTAAAGTTCCCTTCTCCACAATTGATTTGGAGACATGGAAATAGGCTGCTACCTTCTCACAGCAACCCAGTTAACACAGCTAAACATCTGCGATATATAATAAACATAATCCAGACTGGAGTGATATGCAATTATTATTGGATGCACTGACCAAGACAGAAAACAATTAATTATAAAAATGGCAGGGGATCTGGCAGAAGATTATTATAAAACCCAAGAATTGGATGTGAAAGATTATATCCCACTCCAAAATCCACAGGGATCCAAACAGATTATCAGAATTGACAAAGTTGGAAAGCTATCAGGAGTGGATCGCAAAGGGGATGGAAAGAGCCATTCCCAAAACAATAAATTGGTCAGCTTTATATGCAATCAAGCAGCGGCCCTCTGAGTCACCATCCGAATTCCTTGAAAAATTAAGAGATGCCACATCACACATCACTGGACCCTGGCTCTGAAGTAGGAATACAGCAGCTAGTTAATTTATTCCTGGGGCAGTCTACAGGTGACATAAGACTTAAACTCCAAACGCTTTGGGAGGCAGATGGGAGGAATTTAGAGACTTTGTTGGATGAGGCATGGAGAGTCTTTAGGAACCAGGAAGAAGTATATAAACAAGGAATGAAAAAGTTTGTAGCTGTTGTAAGAGAGACAGAGAGGAAGACACAGACAGGGACCACCAAGCAAGGCCCATCCCAGCTGGACAGAGACCAGGGTAAAATCTGTAAGGAATATGGTCACTGGAAAAATCAACGCCCAGAACAAAGACGGGGTGGCCTTCCCAAGAAGAGAGACTGGGAAAAGGGAAAAGTGACTGTACATGTGAAAGAAGACTGAGGAGGACTGGTAGATCTCACCCCAGCAGATCCACTGGTTATAAAATTGAAACTGGGGGGGAAATGGAAAGAAGTGGAATTTCTGGTTGACACGGGGGCAACATAGTTGGGCTTGAATAACAGTTTGGCACCAGTGAGGAAGAACTATGTTACAGTAATAGGAGCAACTGGCCAACCTGAAAAAGCATATTTTTGCTAACCATTAAAGTATAGGCTTGGAAGGCAATAGGGCATTCATAAATTCTCATATATGCCCAGCTCCCCAAGACACCTTTTGGTGTTAGAACAATTACAAGTAACCATTAAATTTAAAAATGGGAAGGTTATTGTGGAGGTGAATAATGAACAGTACACAGAGGTATTAAGTTTAATGTTAACAGCCATTCAAATGGCAGGAGAAATAAGCAAAGAAATAATAAATCAATTATTTCCTGGAGTATGTGCCTCCAATGTACCAGGGAGAGCGAAAAATGCACTTCCTATATTAATCAAACTTAAGGAAGGAAAACAACCAGTTAGAATTAAACAGCACCCCTTGAAAAAGGAAGATAGGGAAGGAATTAGTCCCATAGTTGAAAAACTTTTGTAATTAGAGTTGTTAAAAGATTGCCCATCTGAGTTCAACACTCACATTTTGTCAGTCCAGAAACCTGATGGGTCATATCAGACAGTACAAGATCTAAGAGCTGTTAACAAAATAACCGAGGATCTCTATCCTGCAGTTGCAAACCCATACATT